AATCTAAACAAAACTCAACTTTATATTTTTAAATAAAAAAAAAAAATCATATATATATAATTCTAAACAATTAGATTATTTAACAAAAAAAAAAGTAGTTTATTTTTGATAAAACATTTTCAAAAAGTTTATCTTAATCTTAATAATAGCAAAAAAAATACAAAATCAAAAAATATTATATTGCAGGATTAAATGAAAATGTAGAGCTTAAATGTCTTCCAACAGGTTATCTTACATCATGTAAACCAACAAAAGATACATGTGATAAATGCAAAAAATCATTTAATAAATTAAATAGAAAAGTATATATATGTGGACATGCTTATTATACAAATTGTTATAATAATTTACATTTAACATGTAATTATTGTTTACAATATTACAAAAAAGGAATTTTTTCAAATATTAAATTATTTTTAAAAAGATTAGAAAAAACTGGTAATGATAAATTAACTAAAGATGATTTAGAAGAAGAAAATTTAGAAGAAGAAATAGATGATAATTATAATTATAATAGTGATAGTGATAGTGATAATGATGATAATAATAATAATAATAATAATAATAATAATAATATAGATAAAGATCTTCAAGAAGCAATAGAATATATTGAACAATTATAAAAATATTTTTAAAATATTATATAACTTATTTTTTTTATATTTAAATTTTTATATTTTATTATATAAATTAATAAATTATTATTAGAAATTTATTTTTTAATAATTATATTTTTAAAAATTATATCTATATAAAAATTTATAAAATTTTTTAAAATTTATATTTCTAATAATCTCAAACATTTTTCAAATTTCTACAATTTTCAAAATCCACTCTAATCGGAAGTTTAATTTTTGTTAATTTAAATTTTTAAAATTCTTCAAATTCTTATATAGATATATAAAAATTATTTATATATTTTGTTACTCAATCACCAAAACACAACTATGAAAAAAACTATATAGAATCTCATATGATCTACAGCTAATTCTTAATATTATTAAACCTATTTTATTTTATTTTCTTATATCCAAACTGCTTAATCAGGCTATTAAAATATCTTAGGCTATTGATCCTACTCATAACTACCAAATACTTCAAAATACTAAATATTATCTTTAAATAGATGAATATCAACAACAAAGCTAGACGTGTATCAAGCTAGTAGCAATTACAAAAGAAGAAAACCAAATTTGTATTCTTCTCTTCTTAAATAGCCATTTACATACTTATCATCAATTAATTAAATCAATACTCATTATGCAATATATCATACTTCACAAATAATTATATTTATCACTTAATTAATTATTACAATTACAAAATTATATAAAATTTATTACAGTTTGCAAAATTATGTGAAGT